TATATATATATATATATATATATATATATACGTCATGGAAAACCTGTTAAGAGCTCTCCGCGCTCCAGCACGGTATTTCACTGTACATACTTGAGCACTTTGTGCAGAGCCCTCTGCAGCGCAGCATGTGTAAGTGTTGTAAGAGCACCCATCTGCCACAGAGCCGCCTGTACCTCGGCGAACAATACTTTGTTTCCTGCTTTAATTACAGGTTTGCCTGTGTGTATATACATAGGACGGACCAAAGTTGAGGTCTTTTGTTCTTTCTCTTATCCTCTGTGAACGATCCATCTGCTGCCCTCGCTTTCTGTTTTTTTTTTTCTTTCTGTCCTTTACAGACATGTGCTGTTGAGTACCTTACTCTCCCCAACACATTTAAAATGCTTATCCTAACTGTCGGAGGAAAAAGCTTTCTCCCTCTCACATGGTGTCCCATTTGCCAAATATTTCTGCTTCCCTCCCCCACCCAAACAAGAACATGTGCTCATACCAAATTCACAAAATCCTGTTGACTGTAAAAAATTGCAGATGGGTGATGGCTGTTTATTCCTGTAGCATGTTGAGTCATTGGTGGATGGATATTATCATAGTAATGCATACGGGGAAAATATAGTCTGCCGCCTCTTAATAGTATTTGTGTATGCATGTCATCAGGACGTTTTGAACACCATCATCCGTGCCTGCTCTCCACGTTTCTTCTTCCTCGGCCTGCCCGGCTTCACCATGCTCGTTGGAGATTTCATCACTGCCGCTGCCCGCGTCCTCCGATCTGACTCCTCAGAGGTACGCGCACACTCTCCACATCTACATTTGTCATGAGATTCAAACTCAACCTTAAAAATGTTGTTAAATATTATATCTACTTAAACGTTTTCAGGAATGTCCCAACTAAAAAAAGAAAACCAGAATTCCTCCTCATACATGGTGGTCTTTAATAAATGTGTCAATGATTCACTCACTCTCTTGTATCTAATGGGTCTATTTTTTATTATTATTTTTAATCCAGTAGTTATAAATTGGATAAAATCTATTTTTCTCTTCTTTTTCCTTCTTCTTCTTTGTAAGACTTTGCAACTTTGACTGAAATGAATACCGAACATATTTTTATTTTTATTGAAATATATTATTCATCCTGAGTTTTCCTCAATCTTTTGAAAGTAAATAGCCTAATGGCACAATAAGAAAAGGACATTGTACTATACATATTAAACAAAAGGAAATTAGCCTACACTGCTGCCACTGCATTTCTTTGTTTTATTCTTTTTATATTGTATATTGGAGGCGTGTGGTGCAGTGGGTTGAGCGTTGGTGTTCGGACCAGGGGGTCACAGGTTCAAACCCCACTGCAGTCAACATGTTGTTGTGTCCCTGGGCAAGACACTTCACCCCAAATTGCTCCTGGGGTTTGCCCTCAGTATTGAGGATGTAAGTCGCTTTGGTAAAAGCGTCTAACAAGTCACATTGTAATATTGTATTGATTATATATTTACAATCCAAATGAATATCAGAAAGAACAATCACGACCAAAGAACAGAAGGAAAAAAAGCGGGTACGGTCGATAGCCTTCCAGAACTTCTTATGAAGGTCCAAATGTTCCAAACAACCCCCAAGAAATGTACCACCTCATTTTGTCGGGGAGACAAATAAGATAAAATGTCCAGAATGGTGACTATCTCTGACTTCTCCCAATGATTTCCAGTTATATGTTGCTTCCTTCTGTTTTGGTTGCCCCCCCCCCATCCCTTCCAGGCTCCGAGGCTGGAGGCTCAGACAATCCTGGGCTCCCTGGTGTGCTTCCCCAACCTCTACCTCCAGATTCCTGTGCTGCAGCGTGTGCCCGGCTCTGATGACATCATCGTAGGAAATGAGGATATCAAGGTGAATGTTCAATATGTGGTAATGATATTTAGAGACATAACAGCTAACTCTAAATGATTAGTCCCATGCAAGTCTCCTAAAATGTGAACGTTAAGCATGATACTGTTTGATTCTTATATCCGATCTTCACAATTAATAACCCCAATAATGTAGATGGATAGAATAACGTGTATTTTGAGAATATATCAATTTAGCATGTTTTCTTTACTGTTCAGGATTACCTGGTGAACATCCTCCTAGAGATGGCAACAAGGGAACACTGTGAAGGAGCCAGGTATGATCGGCAATATGGCAATGCTTATTTTATATTAGATTACATTGGCTATTTATTTTTGTTAGTTTGAGGGCGATGTGTTTTTACACACATATACATATTTACTATTATAATGTGCATTGAATCAGAGCATTTGCTTACAGTATTTATGTACTATGTATATACAAGTATGTATATGCTCCTGTACTGTAAGCATATATTCCTGCTACTAACTACATTATTTATGACTTTTTAGAACAATTTATGAATCCATAATTTGTATACTATTAATATTGTTTATATTTGATATAATAGTTTTCATTTTCATTTTACTTTTAATGTGTAGTTGTTGATTTCTCTATTCCACTTTTTAAGTATCTTTATTTTATGTCTGAACACAATGATTCTTCTTCTGAAACAAATTAATTTCCAAAATTGGGATCAATAAAGTATTTATCTGTCTGTCTGTCTATCTATCTATCTATCTATCTATCTATCTATCTTATAAACAGTATAGAAAAGGGATTTTCAAGCCTATTTAACAAAGAAATAATTTGTGTCCTTAAAGTTATAACTAAAGATTTTCGTTACGAGGTGTCTATTAAATCAAGTAACACAATGGGAGTTGAGGCTATGCTGGTTGAACTAAATCCAAAAAACACCTGCTGTTGCCGCTTATCACCTCGGAGAACAAATTGGAGATTTTAGAGGTTGAATCGTTTCGTTTTTTTACTCTGCTTCTCTCTGTATCTTTTGTCATTCAGGTGCATTGCTGTGTGCACTCTGGGTCTGTGGGTTTGTGAGGAGCTGACGCAGAAGAACATCCACCACCAGGTTAAAGACGCCATCAATGTGCTGGGCGTAACACTAAAGGTCAGTTCACATCACACCATGTATTCATTTACAGTTTGATACCCTGGAACTTATGTGTTCAGTTTGATTTTCTAACAAACAAGCGCAATGTTGACCATTTTAACTTTGGCAACAATTCTGAATAGGATAAATCACTGACGGCTGCAGTGTCTTAAACAAAGTGATGCACGAAGCCATGATTTCATCTCAGAAATGTTTCGTTTTACCACATGAGCACTGTAGTGTTTAGCTCTATCAGAAATGATAGTTGATTACATAAAAGGACTGCAGAACAATTTCAACATAGTGAGTGGACAGACAGTGTGAGAATAAAACATGTTCAGTGATGTGACTCATGGCCATATTTTTGGAAGAGCCCTCTTTCCTCCCTGAGTGAAGAGATGCAGAAAATCACTGGTGGTTGTTTTTTGTCGCTTTTTTTTTCTTCTTCATGGAATAGTGTTTTGGGCGGTGGTGTAATTTCCAGGCTGCTCGCTCTCAGTAGATGTGGGCCAATTTAAGCAGCTACATCTCCCAGCTTCCTGCTCGAGCATCCCCCCCCCCTTCCCTAATGGAGCAGTAATCACTCCCCTGGACAACTTGACACACAGACTCCGCCAGCCCCAAAATAGAGGGTATAGGCTGGGTGGGGGATCTATGGGGAAGAGTGGCACTGAGAGTCTCTTTTCGAAAAGCAGGTGCTGAACTCTCAGGGCCCCTTTTTGTGTTTGGCCATTTCTGCACTCCCCACATTGTCTGTCCTTGTTACATGTTGAAAGGCATTCAGCTGGAAGAAATGGAAAATTCTATTTCTCCACAAAGAATTTCAAATCACTAAAGAAATTCACATTTGAAAGAAAATTGTCAACAACTCAATTCTTTCCTGTAATCAGTCAGGAGAAAATAAGTCATTGTTTGGAGGGGAAATTCAATTATGCTAAGTATATGCATGTAAGTGAAAAACTAAACATAAGGGCTATTACTCAGATTGTTGTCATGCTCAGCTTGTGCCTAGAACTTGTTCCCTTTTTCAACCAGCCATGTTCCCTGTTTCCAACCTTTGGTCTGGGAGCGAAGGGAGGGAGGAAACTTTGGGATTTTAGCCTTTAAAGACCATTTACATGCATTAAAACCTTTATAACACACTACAGGAGATAAACACATAGCATAATAGAGCCTCCTTAATGTTGTGCTTATGTGTAAATATAAAGTTCTCAAATATGTCAATACATGTTTTTTTTCCTGCATGTTTAGACAGCATCAACATCAGAGACTTCATAACAAATATTTACTAACTTTGATTGTTTAAGTTACAGTGTGGAATCAGCATTTCAGGCATAGAAATATTGGTCCATCTGTATCCTAGTTCTAAAAATGAATCCTACTTGAACTTGCCAATCACATTTAAGCATTTTGTGAATTTTGACATTCATTTTTCAGTTTAGATGATTTGAATCTGATCTCACAGAGTATGAACATTGTAAAAGGCTCCAGTGTTCCTATTTAGTATGTGTTTATTTGGACAGTTTAAACAGACACTTGATGCTTACTTATATGCTTGATTCAATGCTTTTTCAAATAGCTTAGATTGAGAAATTAGGGACCAGCTAGCACCAATTAAGAACACAATGCCTTAGAAGAACATCTGATTGAAATCTATGATATATTTTGAATGTATATAGTGCCAGAGCAAAAATGTCAAGGCAGATGCAATAGCAAGCGTTCCCCTAGCCCCAGAATGTACATGTATAGCATTAAAATATTTGTTAAATGTCTAAAATGTTCCGTATGTTAATGCAGCTTATTATAAAATAAGCTATGCATCGTTGAACTGTTTGTGTCCCGTCCTTTACTTGTTTGTTCGTGCAGTTTGGAAACAAAGCAGTGGCTCAAGTGGCCTGTGACGTGTTCCAGCTGCTCATCTCTCACTGGGAACATCTCCAGAGGCTGGAGCCCACTCTACCTAAGAAAATCATTGAGGTACACACACACACACACACACACACACACACACACACACACACACACACACACACACACACACACACACACACAGTGTTTTGTCAGTAGCCATTAGAGGTCTCTGAGAACATATATTCATAAGTAAGAAATTCCTATCAAGTCACTTAGGATTCAAAAGTCTTACTAACAAATATGCATACTCCACCTCCCTTGGCTTCACATCCATTTGAGCACACAGCCCTGACTCAGCTAATGAATAGGAGTGTGTCATCCAATTATCTTCCTCCTTGTTTTGTCCCAACACAGATCTTTGTGGCCACAATAGCCTTTTTGTTGCCGAGCGCGGAGCACTCAACAGTGGAAGCAGACAAAAAGGTACATGTTTGAAAGGAGGGGACACGGCTGAGTTCTAAAGGCCCTTGATCAATCATGTTGGAATGGAGCATTTGCAGAGGAATGTTTCTTTATATCTGTCTAGCTCTGTATTTTTTTTTTGCCGCTCTCCTCTATTTGCTTAAAGGGGACCATCATGCTAAATGCACTCTTTGATGTCTTTTGTACATAAATATGTGTCCCCGGTGTGTCTGGGAACTCACGCAGCGTCAGAAAATAAAACCCTCTCTCTTTTCCTCCGTACCCAAATCTCTAAAAACGAGGCTACAATGGAGCTGATCCAGATTTGCGTCCGATATGACGTAATATCGGAAATGAAGGCTGGCTTTATACTCACGGCCCTATCAGAAACATTGCTATCAGAAACAATGCCCAACTGTTTTGGATGTAATATGGTCGGTGCATGTTTACATTAGCATCGCTAACACTCAGAGCTAACCTGTACTGCACAGAGCATGTGTGTGAAGAAGCAGGAAATAAAAAAGAACTCACCTTGTGGTATAACCGGCAAGAGAGAGCCTTTGAGCTCCATACTGTTTCAGAAATAATCCTTGATAAACCATGATATGGCATTTCATCAACGCAGTATCTGCCGGTAGCATCTCCCGCATGAGCTCAGCCCCCTCCTTTTCTTTTTTTTATAAATTTGTTGTTTGTTATTTTGAGCAAAAAATGTCATAGACATGTTTTTTATATATTTTTATATATCTGAGAAATATGCTATTGCCTAAAAATAGCATGATAGGTGCACTTTAATGTTTCTCAGGAACGGCACAGCTCCTTTTTTGCTATATACACTTGTTTTTGTTTTATTTGATGACCAACATGTGTTTCTCACTTCCTCAGTTGATGGTGTCCCTGCTGCTCTGCCTGTTGGACTGGTGCATGGCTGTTCCCTTGAGTCTGCTGCTGGAACCCATCACCATGCCTTCTCCGGAGGACCGCACATCCCATAAGGCCCCCCTGCTGGACTATATCTACAGGGTGGGTAGCCTCCCTGGCAGCTGGGGGGGGGCAACATTTTTCTTTTTAAGAACGGCCACTTTAGCTTCTTGCTGATTTCCGATAACTTCTGAATAATACATAGTCTTCATCCGCAAACACAATAACTCCAGCTTCGACCCCCCCCCCCTCTATTACCCACAAAGACTCACCTCCACCGTGACCTCATGACTATGCCTCATTTAACATCATAGTGGCACAGCATAAGAGAAACCGCCATAGCCGACTGTCCATTTATCATATGCAGGAAACCCTTACAACTTGCTTTGTAGTAGCATACTGCATTTACAAATATAAATTATATTATGAATTTAAAAATATGCAGTACCCACTCTAGTTACTCTAGTGTATCTCTCCCACTAGCCTTGTATTTTATAGTCTGACCCTGAGGAAGAGGGCCAAGCTTCAGGCACAAATGAAGGAGGTATTATTCATTCCCTCCTGTCTGGGCAGATGCGGTCAACGGCAGATCTTTGTAAGGATGTCACCCCTGATAAGAAACGGTCCAATTATTCAAACAGGACCCATTGTCCAGTTGATAAGCTCGGGCTATAAACGCTTGTCCTGGAGATTTGAATGGAATATGTCTTAATATGAGAGCGACTGCAGCTGCTATGAAAGCAAAGACAATTAGGCGTGATTGGTTGTCTATCAGCTAAACAAAAGACAATGGCCCCTCTGGGTTTCATTGGAAATAATATATTAGGCAAGGGCATCGCAAGGTGTGACAATATTAATGCAATGTCAGGACTGAAATCTATACTTCTTCGCAGATACCTCGGCTGCTGATTATTCTCTACAGCGAGCGGAGAATAGCTTCCCTAATTGGAAACATCTCCCTTTTATTGCATCACTGGCTAGTGTCACTGAGAAGGTAGCAGGGAGGGCTTTTCATGCTTCACCTTCCTTTAATTACAATTTCAGATAAAGAAAATAAAAAACCTTGTTAAATACCAAACACATCAAGCACAAGAATGGGACCCAGCTAATGAAAAGGTTGTCAGGCTATTGGTTCTGAGATGAAGTGAGAAAAAGTTTTTAACAGCATGCAGATCGATGTAAAAAGCAACATTGCATTAGAGCTCATTGGAGATCTGCTCTAGCTTCTCCATCTGCTCTTTTCGCTTCCCCGGCAGCCAGCTGCACTACGCGTCTCTGTGTGTGAGTGTGTGTATTTATGTGAGGGAAAGAAAGAAAGAACAGGTCCATTTGTCCACGTGCACACCTGTATGTCTCTCTTTGCGTTTTTATGATTGGATGTATGTGTGTACACAGGCGTATACTCATGCATCCATATGTGCCTCCTCCAACTACAGTAAGCACTGCGCCTTACTTTCCAGGAACTGTTGCTACGCGAAAGTGCAGTCACTTAGTTGTCAAGCACAGCTGTGGGTCCCCCCCCCACCACCACCACCAACCTCCTCCCTTTCTGTCTCTCCACCTCTCCAAAGAGGAAGCTCTTTGGGGCTTTGGTGTAGCAGCTGTTTGGTTCAGGTCTTTTCAGCCTCAAGCCTCACAATCCCTCCCCCCCATGCACCCAGAGGTCTGTTCGGCAGAATCATCCACATACTGTCTACATTGCCCCACACAATACTGTTTCAGATGGCAGGGCCAGGCTGCCTCTCACAGCGTCTCTCAGCCAAGATGGAGCGTATGTGTGTACTGAATGGGATTAGCCCTCGCATGGCTTTACCCAAGTTGCTCTACTCTGAATGAGAGGCCCCCCTCATTTACATACATTAGGCATATGTTTCACCCTCTCATACGCGGCACCTCACCTCCACTCGGATTATACAGTATACAGGTGTGTCTGTTTGTGTGTGTGTGCATATTTGTGGTGGGAGCTGAGCACAGGGATGAAGTCTTAATTAAATCAAACAGTGTAAACCTGTCCAATGGCTGTAATCAACTGCCCCAGTGCGCCTTATCTAGCCCTGCCAACGGATGCTCTGCCATCTGTTATGTAGATCGATACACTCACACATCACAGGAGAAATGGATTAGTGGCAATAAAGTCCCCTCTCTTTTCTCTTCCCCCCCCCCCCTTACCTCACTCCCTCCTTCCGTCGCCTTATGATGTAAATGCACCTTATATTCCCCTTTCATGCTCCTGGATCATGTCACTCTGGAGCAGGCCTGCAGGAGTGTCACTGTGCATTGTCTCACAACACACACACACACACACACACACAAACACACACACTATATATATATATATCGAAGTTCAAGTTCAGTCATCGCCTATCACTGTCAACACAAGGCAATTCAAAGTGCTTTACAAAAATAAAAAGATATTAAGAGCAATAGGAAATGTGCAGCGGATACACACAACAGCCAATTAAAAGCAAAGAGAAAAAAAAATGAACACAGCAAGGTAATATAGAACAACACAAGCATAAAATACATGCATAAAAGTAACAGTGCAGTGTAAGATAGGAATAGTTCAATAAAAAGCAGCACAAAAAAAATGTTTTATGCCAGAACCTGAATAAAAAAAATATTAAGAGTTGCAGACTTGCAGGTTTGTGGGAGTTTGTTCCAGATATTTGGAACTCCATGTTTAGTTCTGATTCTGGGGACAGAACGCAGAACTGTCCGTGTTGCACGGGATTAGAAATGATAGCACATTTCATCTGAATCCTCACCCCTTTCCCTGCTCTTCCTCAGGTGCTACACTGCTGTGTGTCGGGCTCCACCCTGCACACCCAACAGAGCCACTACCTGCTCAGTCTGTCGGACCTGTCGCCCGACTATGACCTCATGTTGGGTCAGGTTAAGAGCTTCGAGCCCCCACCCTCCCAGACAACCTCCTCCGACTTCGGCAACCTGCTCACAGTCGCTGAGGGTAAGGAAATGGAGCCTTACTGATTCCCCCTTTTTACCCCGCGCTGTGCACGAGATTGCACACGGCTGGCAGATAAAACGGCAATGGCCATTTTTTGGTTGTATAGGATGTGTGCATTTGTGTGTGTGTCTGATATCTGTCACATCACTGCTTAGAGGACTATCTCCGGTCAATTTTGGGACACACTTCTTCATTTCCGTTCCTGTGCTTCTGACCACAGACCACAGAAAAAATATCCCCAAAAAAAGGATTAGACTGAAAAGCAAACTCTGAAAAGCCCATCCATTTGGAGCCTCTCCATTAAATGTCAATATCTTATTAAAAGTATGAAAAGGAAATCAACCATCACAGGGAAAGGAATGTTCGCATTAGTACTCAGCCCTAGAGAGAAGACCCATTATGGGGTTTTTTCTTCTTTTTTTGTGACCTTGTGATTCCATTAGGCAATATATTCCTCTCTGCCCCATGTCCTTAACTTCTGAAAAGTCCTTGGAGCCCAAATACAAAATGCAGTGTACTGAAACAATGTAAGAAATTTGAACAGGAGCTTTTGCCTGAAACATTTCACCACACCTCTCTGTTTCTGGTGCCCGTGTTCTTAGTAGAAATAACAAAACACTTTCAAAGGGGCAAACCAAAGAGAGCCGGCCTGGTTATATTCATGTCCCCACCTCATATTGATCAAGTCACATCAAAGGGCTAGTGCATCTCTAATGCAGCTTGGCCTGCTTTCTAAAGAGCTTTCTCCACTTTGATGGGGGATGATGGTATTGATAGCACTGTCACAATGTAAGAGTGCATCTCCTTGTTTTTTCCCACATCACTGCAGAATAAAGCACCGCATGCCTTTCACTTGGGACTAAAAACCTGTGCATTTACATAAATGCAATTCACTAAGTAGTGTCCTTTTTAGCAGCCTGCAAAGATGGTGGTTCTTATTAGCACTCTGCCAGTCTCAACGCTTGTCCATTCTAAGAAGACTCAATGGGCTTTTCAAAGTTGTCTCTTTTGATTAGAGACCTACTTAGAGGTGTGCCGGCCAAGCTTTTGTGAGAAATGAATAAAGTACACCTATTAGTAATCATAAATGAGATTTGGCTTTGTATAAAAATGAGCTAACTGAGATGATCGCTTGTCTACTCACAAACATGGGGCTTTTGGGATACGGTTAGCAAAGTGTGCGTTTGATTACTTAATAGGCCTTAACGCTGTTTTTTTCAGGCGATTCAATTAGTGCGCCAATTGTTTCTCAGTGTGTTGTCATTACTACTTTAAACGGTCCCTTTCCTGTAGTGTGTTATATATGTTGTGCATGTAAATCGTCTGCTAAAGCTAGGTCCCAAAGTGTTTCTTCTACATACACCACACCCTTCCCCCCGCCTAAAACGCCTCCATTGGACTCCATTGTTAACATCCGTAACATAGTGACATCACTATGTAACACATGCGCCTATATTGGATAAAGCTCCAACACATTGTACGTGATAGGCTAAGGGGCGGGACATGTATAAGCAGTATACCAATAGAGCCGGCCAGCTAACCAATCAGAGCAGACTGGGCTCTGGTTTCAGACAGAGCAGTGGTTCCCAACCTGGGGGGCGCTCCGATCAGATCGGTCTCCACCATTTTGTAGATTATTTACGACTTTTAAATCCACATAAACACATCGGCAAAAAAAAAAAAAAAGTTTTAAACAGTTTAATCCCTTTGTGAATTGTTTCCACTTCCGCGCCGTCCTTTAATTTCTTCATACAGCGGGAATCCAAATGAATGAATCCTGAGTCCAATAACCATCAAAGTCACTCCAATAGTGCTCCTTAATTACGCTTTCATCCTCCTTTAACAAGATACATCACATTCATCCAGTTTGTGACAGTAGTTGTAGCATTTTTGAGACTTTGAAACTTTAATTACCGCTGTTGCGCCCCTCCCCTCCCCCCCTTGTGTGTGTGGGGGGGGCGCAACTTCCAACACGAGTCATTTGGGGGGGGTCTTGGGAAAAAAGGTTGGGAACCCCTGAGACAGAGGGTGAAAAGAGGTGCTGCAGAAGGAGAAAAAAAAAAATGTTGCTTTTACATTCCGAATAAAGGCATTAACCAAATGATGACAGCTCATTTTATTACCCTTGTCAACTTTGACAAAGGTAGCATATAGCATTTCCTTTCCTGTTGTTCTTACCTTTCACAATAAGAAAGCTGTGATTAATGTGCTGCATAATTAGGCTATTCAATTATTCTGGGCAAATATGACCCCGGTAGTTGGTTTACCTCTACCTGCGTCAATCTATTCAAACTTTTTATTAAACCAGTAATGCTTCTGTCACAAATTAGCATCACTGTTGGTATACATATTTTTGATGTGAAATATTCATAGTCAGCTAAAGCCGTTTACCATGTTTTACAATTTCAAAACATTTTTAAAAAGTGTGTTTTCCTTCAGAGACTGTCTAAGTATATGTATCTTCCTGCCATAATTTCCCCCCCAGAAAAGCGTCGTCGGAACATGGAGCTGATTCCCCTGACAGCACGGATGGTCATGACCCACCTGGTGAACCATCTGGGCCACCACCCGCTGAGCGGCGGCCCGGCCCTTCTCCACAGCCTCGTGAGCGAGAACCACGACAACCCGTATGTGGAGTCGTCCGAGCTGTCCTCCGAGGTTTTCAAAAGCCCAAACCTCCAGCTGTTTGTGTTCAACGACAGCACGCTGGTGTCCTACCTGCAGATCCCCGCAGAGACCCCCGCCGTCGGACAGCCCCCCAAATGTTCCTCCCAAGTACGTGTGATCGTCCGCGACATCTCGGGGAAGTACTCGTGGGATGGCGCAATCCTCTACTGCACCAACCATGACGACTGTGATGACGCAGGCGTTTTTGATGCAGTTGATCGCCCTCTTTCCACCACCTCTCATGACCCTCACAGCAGAAACCAGCCTGACTCTCCAACAAATGGACCGTACAAAAACCATTGCTCAGTCTCCGACTCGCTGTCAGACTGCTACGAGGAGGAAGGGTTGGATATATTGGACACGCTTTTGGAGGACCTGGGCCACAGCAGCCCAGAATGCCTCCCCGTACCACAGCTCAGGCTAAACCAGCCAGCCCCCTCCCCGCATGGCATGAACTTAGAGCAAGAGAGCGCCATCATGGAGGCAATCTTGCGTCAGATGCAGCAGGAGGATGAACAGGTGAGGAGGTGGGATGCTGACTTGAGCTTTAAGGCTGCCTGCCAGAGTGAACCGTCACACCAGGAACCAAAAGCTCCTTTCTACTTCTGCCGGCTGCTGCTCAATGACCTTGGCATGAACTCTTGGGACCGCAGGTACGCTACAAACCGAAACTAGCTACCTGGTTTGCACTGTAGAAGAAGAAAGACGCAAACAAGAATCAGGGTTCTGAGAAGTTATTCTATAGCCTGTTGATTATTTGTTTTGATGTAATTCTTTAGCATTCTCTCTGCTCTCATCTTAAATTCAAGCAGTACCAGCCAGACTTACTTCCTTCCTCCTTAACTAGTTGGACTACTTCCCTTAAGTAACTCAGCTGCTGGCTCGTTACTCAAAGAGAGGAAGAGCACAGTTAAAAGCACTGCGGAGTCTAGAGAGACTTAATCTCCTCTCCACAGGGTAAAGGTGCCCAGCTGTTCTCACTAAGGTCCACCTCGCAGAGCCACATCTTTGACGTGCTTTCCCGTAAATTAAAAGCTTACACCTCTTAATGGTGACCGTGCAACGTGCCTACAGCAAGAAGGAGATTGCTGTTCGCACCTGTGCCTTTTTTTTCACCTCTGTTAATCTTGTCTGCAAAACAAAACTCCACTATTTTTCTCAATTTTCGAGTAGATTAAACCCTTTTTCCAACAGTGGTTAATTGTTGCTACCATGCTTTTTATATTCAGAATTGAAAATGTAATCAAGACTTATTTTGTCAAACAGGAAAAGTTTCCATTTGCTGAAGAAAAACTCCAAACTTTTAAGGGAATTGAAGAACTTGGATTCCAGGCAATGGTAATACCTTTTTACATTTAATCTGACATAATATATATTCTGTTTGTATTCATATACTTCTGCTAATCATGATACAGTACGGTAAACCTGTTAGAAATTAACTGAAATGATACATCATACAGTTGCTCCAAGCTGAATATATTTTCCCTTCCCTTCCCTTCACTCCCTCCCTTCCTCCCCAAAGATCTTTCTAATTTGTACCATCTCCTGTTGATCACAGCCCTGGAAGTCTCCCACAATAACTCTGTCTTTCTTAGACTGATCATTAAGTACACCACACTTTGCTGATGACAGGAGCTTATTAAAGATTTCCCTCAGGACTGGACTTTATTCTCCCAGATGGCCAGCCTTGGTTGGGCAATAACAACCTGTGCGCAAGCATGCAAAGTGCCCTAAATCTACCCCAGCATGATGTACTGCCATGGCAACAGGGAAAGTAGGGAAAGGGGGCCTTTGCTGCCATCCTTTTAAAAAATCAGGTTAGAGCTGTAGAGATAGTGAAAAAAAAAATGCTCATTCTGCTCTCCTGATTTTGTACAACTCAATTAGACTTACACACAATTTACCTCCATAAGCAAGTGTTTTGATTTACAAAGTATCAATCATCTGAGGTGGCCACTGGAGTGAGAAGCTTTTTAAGTTCTGTTAAAAAATGTCTGCTGTGTTGTGGTTGTACTTTTAAAATCCATGTTTTGTTTTGTAGTCGAGAAACACACAAGATCGCTGTGTTCTACATTGGAGAGGGCCAAGAGGACAAGTGCTCCATCCTGTCTAACAGCGCGGGCAGCCAGGCCTACGAGGACTTTGTGTCAGGACTGGGATGGGAGGTGCCAAAAACCACACCCTCAAATCAACACATCTTATGTATCCACACATACTGCCTAAATATGCACACACTCACACTCAATTGTGCATGTGTCCCTCAGGTGGACCTGGCCACACACTGCGGCTTCATGGGAGGCCTCCAGAGGAATGGCAGTACGGGTCTAACGGCTCCTTATTATGCTACTTCCACCGTGGAAACCATCTTCCACGTCTCCACTCGCATGCCATCTGACTCTGACTGCCTTACCAAAAAGGTAAAACAAAAATCTTGTTTGTGTTGATTATCTTTTTTTATCCTATGTAATGATAAACGTTGACAGTTCCTTCCTGTCTGTGACATTTGGATTAATGTATTATATCATTGTTTGATGTTTGATCATTGTCATTTTTGCACTCCTCAAGCCAAGAGTATGTAGAGAAAAAGGAGAAAATGATGCAGTGAAATGGCTACACAGGCCGGCCTGCCCATAGCAGTATGTTGTTGTAGCCTTCAGCTCTGTGTTAAGCTGTGATCAGGAGGTGTGACTCCAGAGTGCGGGCATTGATTAGTGACCCTGGCCAGGCAGGCCTGAGGAGTAGAGAGTCGCAGGCGCGTGAGTGAAGAGAGGGCATGTGCCGCTGCGGTAATGACTATGATTCTGCTAGCCCCTGCCCCCCTCCCTGTGTGCTGTGACCAGGGCCTGGATTCAGCCATTAGCTCTCTCTGCTAGGGCAGGCGCCGGCCGGATGCCGGCAGGATCCTTTTATCCAATTCCTGCTGCCGCCACAGGAGCGATCGATTGGGTTCTGCAGTGGGATTCTGAGCTGTAGTGCACCAGTAGCAGTTAGCACGAAGAAATGAGCCGCAAGGCCCCTGCCCGTGCTGCCAATCTTCTCATACAGTACCCTGCTGAGAAGGGAAATTCATCAGGCTCTCCTCATGTCCAACCCCCCTATAGTCCTCCACAGACCTTCCCCCTCTCTGTTTCACCAATGACCCCCTACTCATTACTAAACCATCCTGAATCTGTGCTTGGTGACCGCAAAAAATTAGTGAGCAAAGATTTTGACTTTGGCCAGAGTGAGGTGCTGCAGGGGCGGCCGGGCCCAGAGCGGAGTGTGCTACCACTCTTCTTCCATTCATTTTACAGGGAACTTCTGTAATTGCTCAAGCTCACCTTGCAAAGATCTCTACAGGCTGCACAGAAATTGGCAGGCTGGGTGCTTGTATGGATGTGTCAGGGAAAGAGATGGCAGGGAGAAGAGGAAGTGGTACGAAGAATTGGATTGAGAAAAGCGCTTAGTCTGTGTCCAAGTACCATGTTTCCCTGTCAATTTAAAAATAACACTTTTAGTCCAGCAGTCACTCGCTTTACTGCCTGCAACCATAGAGGCATACTGTGTGGGAGTGACGGAAGGGGGAGCTCTCGCTGGGCAGATTGTCTGTTTGAAGAACGTTGAGGGGAGAAAAAAAAAACCCAGCCAAACCAAAAAGAAAAGAGGGAAGACCATGAATTCCTCAATCCAATTGTGGGTTTTGGGGCAGTGCAGGCTGCAGCAGTGGCAGCTGGCTTCAGTAATGCGGTTAGAGAAGCGACCTGCAGGGTTGGGGTCAGGCCATGGTGTGTGTGTGTGTGTGTGTGTTCTGTGACATGAGCGGGTGTGTTTGTTATGGTCTTCTCTGGAAAAGTTTCCTCAAATGGGAGGCTCCATGAGATTGCTGTGTGTGTGTGTGTGTGTGTGTGTGTGTGTGTGTGTGTGTGTGTGTGTGTGTGTGTGTGTGTGTGTGTGTGTGTGTGTGTGTGTGTGTGGGAAATAGACAAGTGCCTTAGCTATCACATTCACCCCCAGGCACCGCAGCTTAACTGGGCTGCTGCAGGTTGTTTTTATAAGGAGCCTCTTGTGTTCTGGGGTCCTCTGGTCTGCTGTCTCCATGTGTGTCAAGCCCATTGGCTGAGTGGAAGGTCAAAAAGGGCTAATTGGACAAGAGCCTTTGGCTTGAATCACATTTTTATAAAAGAAGTCTCAAACATTTGGATGTGATTAACAAGGGAGTAAATAGGTTGGTGCAGCAGATGATTGACTAGAGCATAAGCATCCTCATTAAACTTGTGATTAAGCTCATCCAAATGCTAATATCTTAACCCAAATTAACATCCCAGTGTTAATTGTCTGCGGCAAATGCATATTCAACATTTTCTCTGAAATTGTCCCAGTGACTGACCTGGTTGGTACCTGCTGATCCTTGGACAGACAGACTGAACTGGCGAGCTCCAGTAATCAGCATGCCGTGGATTTGTTTAAGATTACCGTATTACCATAATTAAGGGTTTATAATAGAATGTGCTAATTGCATTTTTGGTGGCGAGGGCATGTTTCTTAATGGCTCATTAGGCCCACAGTACATTGGCAGATGTTTTCTTCTGAACAGAGGCTCACTTTTCAGTGTCTATGATCCCTCCCCCAGAAAACATCACTGGGCTACCAGCTAATAAGTGATCCACACTTGTCAGAGAACATAATGAGGCTGTGTCCCTCTATTTAACTTTGGGAAAGAGGAAAGCTGTTTACCTATTTCAATCTAGCATCAGTCAATTTCCTGTCATTTAAGCATACGTTCTTCTCCTGCCCAGTTTCATTTGGGTTCGTGAATAGAGTGGAAATGGGAAGCAATTTAATCTCTGATGGGGGAAAGTCAATTGGATTTGAATGATTCGCTTTTGAAATGCTCAATTTTGTGTTCGCAATTTAAATTTGTAATGAAAAAAGCTATAAAAAGAGGCGAATCTAAGACTCCTACTTAAACCATTGTTTTCATAGTCACCTTCCACACCTGCTGCAATTATGCTTTATCTTTAAGATCCAACAAAAGTGCTTATATCGGAATAACGCATTAAATAATATATTTCTGTATACAGTGATAAAAGCCAGTAATGGCACATTTGCTGATCTGTCAGCAGTGAATTGTGTTTTATTATCCCCTTCTACACACCCCTTATATCTCATTGCACTCCTCACCCTTTACGAGGTGTTGCCCCGAGCTACTTGCTGGCTGAGCCCGGTGACATGCTCTAAATCTCGCTAAATGTGTGTTCCTGTCATCACCACCTTAGGGATGAAAATTACGTGTACTTGCCAGGTACTTGATTAGACTGATTTTGTTTGTTGGCAGCTACGTCACCTGGGAAACGACGAGGTGCACATTGTGTGGTCGGAGCACAGCAGAGACTACCGGCGTGGCATCATCCCGACTGACTTTGGAGACGTGCTGATCATCATCTACCCCATGAAGAACCACATGTATTTCATCCAGATCATGAAGAAACCACAGGTACATGTAAACCACTGCAGATTTTATTAAGGGTCATTGGAAATGGGAAATTACTTTTTTACATTTTTTAAAAATGCTTATTTTCCTTTTATACTAACAGGACAAAGTGCCAAGCACAAAAAGCTAAAGAGCGCTCTGGCTATTTTCATCACTGCACTAATTTCCAGGCTCTGAGTTTAAACAGTCCCTACTCCACTTCCTTCTCAGACTTTGCCATGAGATTCTCCGTCCTTTTTCCCTGTTATGGTTTCTGTCTGAAGGCTCTCAGTTCCTCATACTCCAGCTGTGCATTATTACCCATACTGTGGGTATGTGCTCTCGGAGATGGTTGCACTTCTTTTCTGCCTAGCTTTCATCTTGACCACTCTGAAGTACTGCACTCGATGTGTGGCCTTCCAGAGGATAGTGAAATGTCTCTTTCAGGGAAGGGCTGCCTTCAGATGTTCAGATACATCCACAACATTTTCTACGATTTCAGAGATCCGTGACCTAATGTAAGAAATAACATTTTAGCTTTATAATGACAGTATACCAGCTCCAGAGGAACTGCTAATTATTAAACATTGGTAGCACTTTAGGACCAATACAATAACTGGCTCGCCTGCCTGAAAGTATCCGGGCCCATAGAGAGTGCACGCTTGCATTTTGCTTAAGCTCCGCCTCTGGTGTCCCACTCTCGGCTCAACCAAATGAATGGAGAGAGAAAATAACTCTTGATTAATTTTTTTGCGCATTTTACAACTTTTAGAACCTATTGATTTAATTAAGGGCTATACAAGTGTTCGTACTAGGAGGTTGATTTAGTTTTTTTAAAAAGTATCTGCTGATTTACAGACATTTCTTTCCCAATTTTGGCCAACAGGAAAAAGTATTTTTGGACACAGATCTTGTAGTACCGCCCTGTGGCCACTACCAACATTTGCTTTACCGTCCAGGGCACTTCCTTGGGGCTTGGTTTCGACAGTCATAGCCCAACAATCTTGAGAATTTTCTGTTAAATATTTAATTTTTTCCTCTCAAATATTTGTCAGTTTTTAACTCTTTTGCATATCTCTTTCTTTACTGCCAATAAGAAATCTCTGTACTAATCAAATTGATCTAAATAGTACAAATCTGCATTTATTAAGAACTGTGAGCAACTGTTAGATTAATAAATAATACACAAAGAAAAGTGTGTGTTAAGTTCTTCAATGATCGCAGATAGTTCACAAATGAAAACATATTCTCAGTAGAGGGTCTCTGCAGCCAGAGCACAGGAGGGCGAAAAGCCACTGATCTGCCCCCCAACCGTGACCCCATGCAACCCGGTAAAAGTTATCTAAAATTCTCTCACTTAAACTGCCCCCGACTCCAAGAAACTTTAAAGTAATCTACTCAGGTTTCTGATTTTCGTTTATCCAATGTCACCCAAGTCTTCTTACATGTGATTATTAGGTTAATTGGTCTGTGTACTTTCATGTTAAAGGTCCCATGACATGGCCATTTCTACTGATTTATAATTCCATTGTTGAGGTCTACTAGAATAGATTTACATTGTTCAATTTTCCAAACTCACATTGGTTTTCTCATACAGCATCTCTGTATGAGTATGTGTATTCACTCTCTGTCCTAAACGCCTTGTTGGAGCTCCGGCCCCCTCTCCCTCCCTATGAGCCCACTGTGCTCTGATTGGTCAGCTCGCCCACTCTGTTCTGATGAGTCCACCACCGTTACAGCAGAACATCAGTGTTTATGTGTTACAATGGCGTTTGTTAGCAACCAGGAAATTACGCAAGTAATGACAAACAGATGAGAATGCTGCTTGGGGTCTGGTTGCCGTGTTGGCGGGGCTCGTTGCTCCGCCCTTTGAGGCTTGAGGAGCGGACAGTGTGAGCTGGATTACTGGTGTATTTTCCTGGTTGCTGCGTGGGGTCTGCGAGACACCGCGGAACTCAGCCTGAGCACACACATACACTCACAGCCAGGCTGTTCACCACACAGTTCGCCACACATTCGCAGCCTGAGAAAAGATAAGGCTGAGTGAGTGTGTGAGGAGCTCCACGGATCGGTCCATTTGGACCAATTGGTCCTGGGGCAGCATAGACAGGTCTTTTCTGTGAGTTTTACTCGCTACAGGGTGTACTTTGAGGGTTTGTGACTTTGCAGACCGTTTACATGCAGAAAAAGCGACATAACACACAAGGGGACGGGTAATAACCGGAAAAGCATGACATGGGACCTTTAAAATCCATTTATTGTATAATTTGTCGGGTTATTATACATGCTGAACTACCAAGTTGAAGACAGCAGGACCTTTTGGAGACTTTGACATTCACGTCAACTTCCAGGTCAACGACCATTGAGCTTCAGTGATTAAGGGCCCCCTTCCAATATGCATGAACAGACGCGTGTAGCCACACACACTCACACGCTGCCACTGAAATAAATATTGCCCCTTTGTGTTTGTTCGGTAGCTCAATATGAGGCCTTTGTTTAGTATTGATTGTCATTTTAATTTCATTTGCCTAACATTGATTCGCATTAGATATGTGTGGTTGTCATGCAAAGTTAGGAAAGAATCCAATTTCAACTTGAACCCTTGCCCTAAACAGATGGAGAAACGGTTAAAAAGAGAAGAACAAAACACATTTTAATGAACCTTTTCCTACATTTTGGGAGATTACTTACAAGGGCAGAACGCTGAGTGAGTTAACTTTGGATTATTGTTGAGCGTTTGATGTCTCATGTTTTTTTTTTCTTTACTTCCCCAGGTTCCTTTCTTCGGGCCTCTGTTCAATGGCGCCATCATCACGGGGACGCTGCTGCCTAGCTTGGTGCGGGCCACCTGTATCAATGCCAGCAGAGCTATCAAGTCCCGGCTGACTCTCTACCAGAGCTTGTATCCTTGACTCCTAATGTGTTCTGCTACATTTAATCTGCACAGAGAAATCGAAAAATTCATAAGAAAAGACCCCATTGATGACCCATACAGCCGAGATATTAACGGTTGTGAGCAGATATGGCTTTTTATAATGATTTCATGACACCACCAGTGGCCCATTTGGGTAAATTCATTGAGACATGTGGCGTGCTTGTCACATCAGCTAACGTACACAGCTGAGTGCTGACACTGATCTTTATGGGCTGGCTGATTTACATACAGCTATTAGGCCAGGGCTGTTTCGCAGCCTGGAGCAGCATGGGAGGTTGTTTGGGGTTGTTTTGGGCAGGAGCGCAGATAATTTGTCATCATCTATCACTACCGTTTTATGGAGCACGAGGAGAGCCGAAATAAGAGCACCCTCAGCAAATGCACACACACACACACACACACACACACACACACACACACACACACACACACACACACACACACACACACACACACACACACAGACAAACACACACATTCTCACACTCGCTGTCATCCCTCCACCCATCCAGCCAACAGTGTGCCGTTAAGAGCCTGACTCCAGCTGTAGTTGTCAGTTGGTTTAAAGGGAGTGTAATCACCAATGGAGATGAATTAGCATGTGAATGCCAGCAGCACTGAGTTGGGGGGGTGAGACGGGGGGCAGAGTCGAGATGGCCCCTGGAGGGGGAAACCTGATCTCCCTCAACGCCCCGCTCCTCCTCGGACAGCATGTACGGCACCGCCTCACCAGAACCACGCTGCCCCTCTGGCAGTTGCTATAGAAACCTCCCCTGAGGATGTTTCATTTGGGTGGAAGACCACTCTCTTTTGTTATTTAGACATTGACGTATTTGCTGCTGTTTTGAATTATTCTGAAGTCATTGTATCACAGTCATTTACCCAAAAAAAGCCTCTTTGTTGTTCCTACAACGCAGCTGCGCGTGTTGTTTACAGTCGGCTGTGTGTAAGTATGTGCCTGCCTGTATGTGTTTCACAGTGCATCACATCCCCTGGCCCCACCCCACGCCTATATCAGGCCTTGTCTGTGTGTCCCCAGGGGAATCCTGAGTGACAGATGTCTGTTACCCGACGCCAAGTGAATTAGCCCAGTGTGACACTCAGTGCCAGAGGGGGGGGGGCAGCCACAGGCCTCTGTGAGCCTCTGGGGGGAGGGGGGGGACAGTACCGGGCCTGTGCCGGGCCACAAAAGCTTTACCTGGCATTCCTTAGCAGAGGAGCAGGCAGTGTGATCTATGAGAGGAGATAAGCGCTGCCTCTGGAGCTCTGGCACTGAGCGGCTGCCAGGCCTCACACACTCCAAGAGAGGAGATGAATGAATGTGCCAGGCAACACACACTGCCAGCATGAGTATCTGCATGTCTGTTTGTACTGCTGTTTGAATGCATAGCCTGATAACTTGTGAGGACAGAGGCAATGCATAGCCAAAATGTGATGACCAAGTTTTAGATTTGAAGTCCTGACTGGCACCGGTATGGACCAGAAGCGATAACCAGCTAATCTTTCAAATGCTTTCATCACTGTTGTATTACTGCAGCCTTTTGCACTTCTCCGTCTCCAGCCGTCATTCTTCCATCTTCTCAGGTTATGCGTCCCTTTATCTATCGCAGGTCGGAAAAATGACCCTCCCTTTTTTTTTTTTGTCTCGGCTGTGTTTTGCTTTTTTTGTTACAAGATGGAAAATCCTCATCCTTGGTTTACCTCTTCACAATGCCTTAACAATCCACAGTCTGCTCTCTGCCTGTGAGGCCACTCTCCAAGGTAATTAGTTGAATATTTCTTCAAAGAGAAGCTATATGACCCCTGTGTGTCCAGATAAAAGGCCAGTGTGGCGCTGTGGCCCCCTCTCTCGCTCTGTCACAAGGCTTCGAGAGGACTCCAGCAGTCTGCCGCAACGCTCACAGGATCTCTCAGGCTAATAGGATTTGATATTAAAAAATGACCACCAGCCACATTTTCAGAAAATACACAGACGTAAGAGTGTTTTTCAAATACTCCCCCCTTGCTGTTTTCCTTTCTTCCTCCTCATCGCATCCTTTTTTTCCTCCAGCTCTGAACTGTGAGGATTTGTGAAATCTGTGTAGTTGTTTTCTTTTACTCTCCCATTGTCAGTTACAATCTGTGTCAATTTCTTCAGTCAAGACAAAACCTTGGCCTCATAGACACCATATCACAAGCCTCCCACAGACAACTCATAATGTATCATCTATTATTTATACGCCTGATGGAAAATGCAGCTGGTCTGGCTTTGTGTGTTCTAAGTGTATTGTCTGCAACTAGTCTACACTCCACATTTTCAATAATTGACAACACTTTTGTCAGAAAACTACCACTTTTTGGGTTAGTAGAGTAGAACATGTAATTCTGTTCCTGCATTAATTGTGCAGTGTATGACATACCGGCATAGAAGACGCAATAAGTGTGTTTGCGTCACATTAACTCAGGCTGTCACTGAATGGTTTTGCTGTCTGCTGCCATTTCCTTTTTTATGAAGATCCTTCATACTGTCACTGTGGAATAATGTCTCCATCCAGAAGCTGGGATTAATTTCTCTCTTCAGCAAGCACTTGAGTTTGATGTGCCGTCCATCACTCTTTGTGATGGGGGTACTGTTGTGAGTAAAGACTGTGTGCGTGTGTGTATATTGAGGAAACTGTAAGTTTCTAATAGGTGAGACAGTGCTGAACTGACCTTGATTCAGAGACATAGCCTCCCTACTGGACTGAATCAATAGTTTTTGCACACTGACCTTAGTCCCCATCCTCTGGTCTGGCAAACACACACACACACACAAACACACACACACACAGATCCATCTCCAGGCAGCGATCAATAACCATAATCTGTTTCTGCCGATCGCCAGTCATGCGAGCCAGGCTTTTATGTGGGGTGTGTGTGTGTTTATCTGTGTGCAGAGAGGGAGGCTTGATCCCAGAATGCAGCTGGAGTCTCTCATGTTCCCTCACTGGCTCCTGTGAGCATATCTACAGTCCTCCAGCTCCCTGAAAGCCAAAACGAGATGTACATAATTTCAAAGGATGTATACTGAAAAAATAATGGATATGATATCCCGTGAGCAGTTCTTTTTGTGCTGTTGCTGCACCCCCCAAGGCGCCATCATAATTACTACAGACCCTGCATTGGCAATGACATATTCTCACACCCCTTCCGAGCAAGTTATTGTCCCACTCTCGCTGTGTCTTTGTCCAACGGCGGTGCGTTCTTTTGTATACAGTAAGATTCCTCACCTAGCGGAGATGAAAGTGCGGCTGTATGCATGATGGGATGTCATGAATAGGATATGCCATGTTAGTGTTGTCTCACATGAATTATTTAGCATCGTTGATAGGTCTAATTTGCCAGCTGTTGTGCCATAACTGTCGGCAGACTCATAGATAATACTCAGCAGTCTATATCGCTGTGGAACACGGTGCTTGACTAGGCACAGTGAGACGCCGGGCTAGTCATTATTTGCTGGTTCATGTAATGGTGTGAGCTGAAGTGAGTGTAACTAGCCAACTTCCTGTTTATGGAAAACAAGGCAGACCAACTAAAAGCTTTTACAAGTTGCCCGAAGTAATTTGTGATATACAATAAAATTAGAAATGACCTTGATTTGTCGTGAATTGTATATCTGGTATTACTGGTTGAAAGCCTTTATTTGGAGGCAGTCGGCTGTTGTTGGGTGGGTATCGGGGGTCCGTTTCTGAGTTGAAGTGTCACTGCTTGGAATTGGCAAGGGCGGCTTGGGCAGAGGCTGGCATTGGCTTTGATAGAGCGGTTGAGAGTTTATGCAGTATTTGGGGGGCTACACTGAGAGGAGGGGTCTCTCCCCCACTGAATGTTTTAACCTAATCCCATTATCAGTGTAGCGCACTGCCTCCCATCTCTTCCCCCTCCTTATCCCTGCCCCCTCCCACCCTTCTCTCCAGCTGACCAGCTGTTCCTGCCGGGACTCACGACAATGTCCGATGTGTTCAGATCACTGAGTACCCCCCCCCCCACACCATCTCCATCACACACACAAATACACAGGGCGCAGTCCATGCACAACCGAAGCAATTGGCTAGCCCATTGCTGGAGCCCAGGAAGGCCTAGAGGGAGGAGGTTGTTAGTGAGGGGAGAAGGGGGGAAGCTTTGGGTTTGAGGAGGGGGCAAGCACAGGCCTGTCAAACCAAGAGCCCTGACTCAGGAGGCAGCCCGGCTCGGATGGCATATGGCGTCTAGCTTCATACAACATGCAAAAGTATTCTCTCCATTTGCCCCCTCCTCTCATCGAGCCCCCCCTCCCTGTCTCCCTCCCCTGCTGCTAATGCAGAATGACTCATAGCATTACTCCTTTTTTTTTTTTCCTCCCTCCTTTCCCCCACATTAGTTCCTCCTCCTCTTGCCACCCAGCCTGTAACAAAAGGCGTCCGCTGCATGGCACCCACACCCTGAAAGCCCTGGGGGCCCAGCACAGCCTGCACTCTGAGGCCTGAGCTTCATGGGGCCCGCCCCTTTTAAACACAGGTAGAGCAGGCGTGGAACCAGACGGCCAACAGCAGGGACCCAGAGCCACGCCTCGGGTAGCGTACACACACTGGTGGTGTCAAACTGTTGTGCCTGTTTATGTTGGTACCTTTACGGTAGCTGCCTTTCATTTTGTAGCGCCTCTAGTAATATAAAACCATCCGGCTTTCTGTGGTTATGCATATTTAAGCACCATGTGTCCTTTCTTTTTCTAAATGCAACCTGTATGACAAAGAAGGGTTATCTTTTATTTGCAAAGAGTAACATACTTTATTTTGATTTACACTAGATTATAAGCTGAAAATGAACTGTGTTGTAGTGCCAGGTAGTTTTCTGCAGACAAAATAATATTATTTTATATTGTGAATAAAATAATATTATTTTATATTGTGAATAAAATAATACTATTTTTAAAATAGCAGAAGAAATGGCATTGCCTAGTGTAACACAAAAAG